TTTCCCTAGCATCATAGTTGGGCAGTTTACAAGCCCATCCAGTACCAATGCCCTCAGCACCATTTATTAAAACCATGGGAATTATGGGAATATACCACTCAGGCTCTACACGCTGATTATCATCATAAAGGAACTTAAGCAGGTTGTCATCCACAGCAGGAAAAAGTAGTCTTGCTAGAGAGCTAATGAAAGGAAAAAGAAGAAAATGGAAAAAATGACATGGCTCTGGAAAATAAGACTTCATAAATAAGATTTCATAAAGTCTTTATATTTTCAAAAATCTGGAAAAAATTCATTTTTTATAATTATGACCTAATGTGCTTAACAATAAAATTTACCTAATATTAGTCCTAAATGCATGTTTCTCTCAGGCACAAGTCCAGAATAAAATAGCCCTATTTTGCTTATGTAATTACTTGCCTAGATTTTTAACACTGTTCAACAACTTTGTAAGAATTTCCAATTATTCTGAATAAGGCACACAACCTGTTTTCATAACCCAAAATGAAGTTGTACCAGAAAAAAAATCCTTATATTCATTAGGAATGACTTCACCACGAATTCATAAAAAATAAGGTCACAGACTTCATTTGTAATCAAATAATTTAGGATATCACATTCAGAATAATCAGAAAAATCTTATCTCTACACAGCTGCAATTCTACTAAGCATTTAGTTGGCTGCAATAAACTTCATATTGAACTTTTACCATTAAAGCAGCAAATACTTACCTTAACATTGTGAAAATATAACGAGGGCTTGCAGCATCTTTGCCACCATGAAGCCGAGTTCCAAATTGACCAATGGGCTGAAGCAAGTTAATATTGTTACTTCCCACAAAATTCTGAGCCAAATTCACAATAGTCATCATCAATGCTTGCTACAGAGTAGAAACAGAGTGCGACATTAATATTTTAAGTTTTCTACAACTCTTTCAATTTGTGTTAAAATATCAATTCTATTACATTGCCAACAATGTCATAAAAAGAAAAATACTTTATTGTGCATATTCTTCATGCCAATAATGAGTTCTCAATTGATTCCAATCTTAATGCTTACTTCTCCATGATGATAAGCAGACATTTCAGCAACAGATCCAGCCAACTGGGCGACTTTAACTTCTCGTTTATCATTCCTCTTGAAACAGGTAAATAAAACTTTACGTTGGCCTGGTTTAAAGCCTGTTTTTAAAAAGAGTAACCCTCTTTAAAAAGTATTACTTCAAGATATAATTCTAACAATTATTTTAGTACCAACAATGTTCTATACATTTAGGAGAAAAATACCAAAGGTATAATTTGCTTTTGAAAAACAGGCTAAAATCATTACTTGAGATTCTATAGTAAGATGAGTACATACCAATGTTTCCTATCCCAAAAGGGAAGTGCCAGTTGAAAGACAACCTTTTGGTTTTAAAGAACAGACTAGTGGCATTAAACTCCTTCCACGGGAGTTTCTCCTAATCTGGAAAACTCTCATAAAGGTTTACTGTAGTAGTTAAGAGTGTATTTAGGCTTTAAAATCTTACTAATCTGGATACTCTTCTCAACTTGGTCATTTACTCTATGAGAAAATTACTAAACCAGTAATTTGAGGTCTCAGCGACATCAAAGCAATAGAAACAGTAAATTTTCTAATAGCATTATCCTGAGGATTACATGAGACAATGTGACCAAAGCACTCTGCTTCCTTCTCATTCTTCCTGCTCTGGCTCAACAAATAGCAATAATCATCTTAGTATATGCCAACTATTATCATCATTATGGGCCCAGAGCATTATAAAACCAAGATGATAAAATACACATGGCCATTTCTTTGAAAATTTTATAATCTAATTGAGAACACAAGATTATTGTAGATGATACAAAAGCTACACAAAAACTGACATAACTGATAGATATTTACACATCTGAGACCAATTCAGATTGAAATTGTCAGGGAAGACCTCATAGAAGGGAGGTAACTTCAGGCTAAAAAATGATGGATAGAACTATTATTAGCTGAAAAACCAAGAAACACAAAGAACAATTTGCTAAAAGTTCTAAAATGAAAATAAAGTCCTAGATAGGAAACCAAAAAGTACTCTAGGGGGAAAAAGTTTCTAAATTTTGACTAGTTATATAAGTTAAAGCATTAGATATTTGGTAACTATAGATATTTTACATTTTATTTTAGAAATTCTGCAATTAACTCAAGCAAAAAGTAGGGATTTAAGTTCAATTTCCTGAAAAATTTAAAAGATGTTTAAAAATTTCAATTAAAGTAAGACTTTAGGACTACACCAAAACATATCTCAAAAGTAATATACAAAAAAACTTTAAGTTTATCTGAATCTCTTCGTGTGTTTTATAAGATTTCAAATACAAATTTTAAAATATATCATAAGGATGGCCTAAGTACATAAAAATTCATACTGAAAAACAAAAATAAGAAAGATTTTTTTTTTTAAGCAAAGGTTACTCACCATCAACAAGAGATGGTATAGATCTTTCATTATCTGAGTTTGAGAACAGGATCAATTCCTTGTTGATGAAATCATTATAAGTCAAATGCTTTGT